TACAGATGAATTAAAAAGCAACTAATCAGCACATCCAGAGGTTGCACTTGTAGCTCTGCCTATTTAATTCTGGTTTGATGGTATCAAGAGCTTTCCCTCATCCTCCCAGGAGGTAAGGAAGAGCAATGAGTGGTAAACACTTAGAGCAGCCCGTTTTGTATGGAGCAGGCACTTTTTGGCAGGTTGCTTTTTCATTCATGTTTATCCAAGATCATTTTAGTCCCAATGCGCTTCGGATCCCAGGTGTCTTCCGATGGTTGTGTTCAGCTTCTCTAACATAGACTTTGAAGGTGCAACCAAATGAAAAGAAGACCTCCTTTCCCTGACTGGAATTTCCAGTTTCTTCATTTCTTTTCAGTGTAACAGCCTCTGTTTTTCTACCCTGAGGCTGACTGCATTGTACTGTACAGGTTTCCCCCGTTTTGCTGCGACTGTTTTGCTCATTCACTGTTACCTTCAGGATGGAAACTAATAAAGGATTACAGCTGAATGCTCTTCCTCGCATAGCATGTGAGTTTGCTTTATACTTAGAATCAGGATTAGGGATTTCAGCTCCTGGTTGGAGCAGAGGAATAGCTACGCATGGCTTTCTTGGAAACGATTCACACACCAGACTAGATTCCCAACACGTGGCTTAGCGCTCACCCAGAGGAGCTGACGTAGTCTTCTGGTTCAGGTAGACAGTGACTGAGAGGGTCAGGCGCTTCTTACTGACTCAGATCCCTTTGGAGAATATTCACTTTAATTGCCTCAATTAGTTTAAGGGAATCAAAGCAAACTCTCCATCTTGGAGGTTGGGCAGCCCCATTCCTAGCGCTCAGTCGAACACTGAATACCAGCTCTGAGTAAGAATATCACCAGCAACAAGAGCATTGAGAGAAACAACGTGTCCTGTACTGTGATAGAGCATCACCTCTGCCCCCCTCCACTGCGCCAGATTCTGCTCCCTGCTTGTCGTCTTCTCACACTCTGTGCTTTCTCCCACATGGCCCCCTCTGAGCTCCTCTGCAAGCCCCTCTTCTGCTGTGTCACCTTCAGAGAATCGATCTGACCTGTATGCACCTTGCCTCCTGGGGTTCATAGGTGCTGGAACTAGAGGTGCTGCCACGCCCCCGGCTTGAAGTAGTAATAACCCAAATACGTGATTACAGCCTTCAGCACCCCACTATAAAAATTGTTCCAGCACCACTGCTGGTGTTTCCCATCTCCTGACCTCTGTCTGTCCTGGGACCATCAGCTCACTCAGAGCAGGGACCATCCTCCCTGAGTTTTTGGGGAGCGCCTAGCCCAGGGTGGGGGTCACTGCAAATAAATAGCAATAATGTCAAAATCTCTGTGATTGAAAAGCGACTCCTGGCATTTCCGGAGCACAGATGCTTTTCCCTAACCAACCCCTGAATAATCCTCAGAAACGTGTGCCCGAGGCCCAGTCCTGTGATGCTAGTCAGCGTGGAACAGCTATTGACTTTAGGGGGAGCTTCCCCAGCCCTGGACTTGCAGGATTGGTCCCGAAAGGACAAATCTGGCTCCAGGTCCCCCTGCCCGCTAGCATGCAGGATTGCAAATGCAGTGGGAAGAAATGTTTGCATTGTGCAGCAACAAGGGATCACCAGTGGGAGGAACGAATCCACCCATCAGGAAGGACTCGTGCACTAATGTTTAAGGCAGGGCAGGGCCTGGGGTCCTGGCTCCTGTTCCCAGTTCTGTCACTGGCTTGCTGGGTGACCTTGGGCCAGTCACCAAAGGCCATATTGCAATTCATTGTGTATCAGGATTTGGGTGGCCAGTTTGAGTCTCCTCAGTCCTGGTTTTGAGAGGCAATGAGCACCCACAACTCAGCGTGCAGTCGATGGCAGCCATCAGGGCCGGCTCCAGGGTTTTTGCCGCCCCAAGCAGCAAAAAGAAAAAAAAAAGCCGTGATCGCTATTTGCTCTACCGCTGCCACTTCAGTCTTCGGCGGCGATTCGGCGGCTGGTCCTTCCCTCTGAGAGGGAGCGAGGGACCTGCCGCCGAAGAGCCGGACGTGCCGCCCCTCTCTGTTGGTCGCCCCAAGCACCTGCTTGCGGGGCTGGTGCCTGGAGCCAGCCCTGGCAGACGTGTGGGCACACAGAGCCTTTGAGAAATCAGGCCGTTGGTGTCTGGAGTTGGGCACTCAAACCGTTAGACACCCAAGATTAAGGGGCACACTTGAAAACATGGGGCTTAAGTGCTCTGGGCCTGATTCTCTTCCCCTGTTCTGGCCTCTTTGCCATGCTCAGGCCCTAACTAGTTTTCCCTTGCCATGGGGAAGCTCTTAGCTAGTGTGATTGGCTCCTACGCTGGCTACTTACAGTTCTAGTGCAGGGGGTGAGGCAGAGTGCACCCCCAGCTGTTGTAAATTGGTGTAACTCCCAAGGCTGCTCTAATTCAGGCTAGGGCCAAGAGGATTAGGGAGCTGTAACTGAGTCATGAATGGGTGCCACCCTCCACTGAGCATATCTCACTCTCCCCTCTCTGTGTCTGTGTCATGCTGCGTGTGTATGCCTACAGCTCCCTGCACAATGGGGACCTAGTCTTGGGGGGGTGGGGGGGCTCTACATGTGATCAGTCATAACTAAACATAGCTAAAAATACTTCCTGTCACAATGAGGCCTGGTGGGAGGCCCGGGGCTGACCAGCCCTGCTCAGTTAGCCCTGCCCCGCCACACCTGGGCAGGGTGTGGGCATTAGAAGGGAGAAAGCGTGGCAGGGAGAGGATGACAGGGGAGGGGTGTGGACTGACTGTTCCTTCCTGAGAGTCAGAGCTCGCTGTAGAGGGGAGGGGAGAGTAGGGAGTCTCTCTGCTGGAAGCCCTGAGGGAGAACAGGCATGGATATTAGAGCTCTTTTTGGCAGGGGCCTGGGGAAGAAGCCTGAATAAACCTAGGGCCAGAGGCCAGTGAGAGGGCCAGGGTTTGCTTGGAGCTAAAGAGGAGTGAAGCGGACTGTTCACAGACCCTAAGAGTGAGCTGCAGAGGACACCCAGCATCAAGAGCAGAAGGTGCATGGTGGGCCCTGAGACAGGGGAGAAGAAATTTTTCCAGGCCTCAGTGCAAGGCCTGTGGACACTGGTATCCTGGAAGGGGTGAGACTCAGTGTTTCTTAGCTTGAAGCAAGAGTGAAAGTAATTTAAGGGACTTACCGGTAAGCAGGGCCGGGGTCCTGAGCAAGGGCCTTTAAATCCCCGGGCCCTTTAAATTGCCGCTGGAGCCCAAGGGCTCCCGGCCACCGCCACCTCCCCTGGGGTCTGGCGGCGATTTAAAGGCCCTGAGGCTCCGGCTGTGGTAGCGACAGCTGGGAGCCCTGGGCCCTTTAAATTGCTGCCGGAGCCCCAGGGCTCCCGGCCGCCGTCGCTACCCCAGGCCTCTGGCAGCGGGGCTCTGGTGGTGATTTAAAGGACCCAGGGCTCCAGCCGCTGCCGGGAGCCTAGAACCCTTTTAAATTGGCGGCCTGGGGAAGCTGCCTCCTGCCGGTACAGTTGCTGTGTACTGACTCTTGCCAGCATGCCGTACCAGACCAGATCGGTTTACTTTCACCTCTGGCTGGAGGGCTCAATGGAAGGCAGTGGCAGCTGGGTGCAGTTGTGGAAGACCAAGGGGAAACTGAGGCAAAGCTGCTGCAGGGCTCCACTGGGCTGCGAGGGGGTGCTCTGGGACATTGAGTTTTGTAGCACTTCCCTTCCTCACAGGGATGTTGTGAACTAAAGTGCTTTGAAAGCCTCAGGTGGGTTCTTTGACAGAAGGAATCAAAGAACCGACCCCATAAAGAGGGACTGAGCCTAGAAGAAGAGCATTTCTTGTATAGTGCAAATTATTCCTGCAATGCATTGTGCACATGTATGGCATAGACTGAAATATTTTCAAAATGGAACAGACTCAGGTTCTAAACTCTGTCTTATATCGGACAATAGATAAGGCGTTCCAGTAAAGACAGCAAATGTGAGCAACACCAATCTTATGCATATGCAATGGAGGAATTTCATTGTTGGTACCCGAGGTGATTTTAGGCATGTTCCCTCTGTCTGAGAGAATTGAACCTTTCAATCTCAATCAGCTTTAAAACTCTGCCATCCCTTACAACCAAAACAGTCCTGCCCTTTCTCCTGCCGGTTGGGAGATAGCTATTGGCTGCACTAAAAAATCAGTGTGTTTCATGCTATAGTTATTCCACTGTGTGTATGATACTCACAGATTAAATATCTTTCGAGTGTTCCTGCTTGCATGGGGAAATCACTAGATGCAATTTAGTACTACGGTGTTGAATGCAGATATTTTTTCCCCACAGAGAACCTTGTTCAATCTTGATGCCATCAGACAAGTCTCTAATGGGGAAGATGCCACAGATAAGCTTGCAGCTCTGATAGCTATAGCCCATGTGAAATATCTCAGCACTGGCCCTAATTCAAATCCCAACACCACCATGAACGCTTATTGGTCCCCCTGTGGACAGAAAAAGCCAGGATTAAATGAGCAATGAGACTGAACTCCCCTTCGCACCTCCAGGAGGTACCTCCAGGATCAGGGTTGAGGAACATTGGCTTGGGGCTGGGTGGGGGCAGATCGAGGGAAACCTGCACTCCTGCTTCTCATGTTGCACCTGGCCTGGGGATCCCGTCTGCCCAGTAATCATTTTTATGAAAGCAGGGCTTTCTGCTACAGAAAGCAATTCAACAGCAATAGCAACGACAGCAAGGGCAGTGATGGAGAGAGAACACAACCTCAGGGTTAAGTGAATTAGTGGAAGCATGTGAAAGATTAAACAATAGCCAAACTCTCCGGTGAACAAATGGAGCTTTGTCCGGTAACGTACCCATGAAAAGACACGTAGCTCTTAAGCCACAAGGTTTTTTGTTGCCTTTGTATTTTTCCTTAACAAATCAAAGCACCAGAGGGTTCAAATAGAGACTGTAGATGAACAAGTGAAACCTTTGAATGTCAGCCTTGCTGCTTTGTGAACATGTTGTGTCCTCTTTCTGCATTCCAGGGCTCTGGCAGACATCCTAAGGCAGCAGGGGCCAATCCCAATAGCACACTGTGAAAGAGAGACTATCTCGGCCATAGATACCCCTCCCAAAGAAAACACGCCTGTCCGAACATCCTCCAAAAACCACTACACCCCTGTGCGCACCTCTAAAAGCAATCCAGGTAAGTGTCACCATTCCACTTGGTTCTTACCCAGTCCATTGCTCCAATGTCATGTTGAATATGAGCAGAAGAGAAGCGGTAAAGTACATTACACTGCTCCACTTATTGGCAACAGCATCGAACGTGCTGGGTAAAAACTGTCTCTAAGAGGCAATCAGATCAGAACTGTATCGCAAGAAGCAGTTGTGATGGTTCTGTAAGTCATCCAGCTGCATTTGCTAAATTAGTTTGTCATGCTATGCAGGTATTTTAGAAATGTCAGAATCAGCAGCAAGTACATGAGAGGTTTGCTGAGAATTTACAATTGTCCCCTGGTCCCCAACTCAACACACAGAGTGTGAAATATTGCCCAGGCTCCATGAATACTGTGGCTGGAAAGGAAGGAATCCACACAAGCTAGGATACCTCATCCAGTCAGAGAAAAGCCACATGTGGAAAGTGTGGCTGTGACCCAGATCTTCATATTAGGAAGGAGCATACAGGCACATGACAGATCCCAGGGAGGAGCATGGCCTAGAGGGTAGAGCACTGGACTGGCACTCAAGAGATCTGGGTTCTGTGCTGGGCCTGCAAGGTGTGCTTGAGCAAGTCACTTCAGCTTCCCCATCAGTAGAGTGCGCTGGGGTCTCAGGATAAAAAGCACTGTGTAAGAGTGAGGGATTGGTTAGTCATTTCGTTACCTGCAGATAATCACAATGAAGATTTTTAAATATCATCATGGCTGCTAAGCACCTGTTGTGAAGTGAGATGTGGAGGATTCTCCATCGCTTAAAGTCTTTAAATTGAGTTTGGATGTCTTCCCACAAGATACGCTCTCATTCAATCAGGAGTTGTTAAGTTTGATATGGGAGTTACTGGGTGACATTCTCTAGCCTGTTATACAGGAGATCACATCAGATGATCATAATGGTTCCTTCTGGGACCTTCACATGGAAGCCAATAGGAGCCGAGGGTGCTCAGTAATGTGTGAGATTGGGCCCATACTGCTGTTGATTGTATTAAGTGTTGGTTTCAATGATCTAAGGACTTTCTTTTAATCTACCTTGATGCTCCTTCTGCTACATGAAGAAGACCACTAGGAAAGCTGGATGGGAGTTGCATCACTGTCATACAAAAGACCATACAGTCTTCACATGGTATTCACATACAGTACAACCCTAACTGATTGAAACTTGTGGATACAATGTTGCCCCACTGGTGATAATACTGGTAAGGGCTTCTTCAATGAACCCTGGGTGCCCCAGACTTGAATATAGCCCAGAGTCAGCCAGGCCCAGAGTATAACCCCATTGTGTCTGGCTGACATTTGGGAAGCCAGCCACCTGGAGAACAAATTCACTTTACTCTGTATTCCTTCAGCTTTAAATGCACCTGCCCAAAGTCTGTACTTCTGCAGTTGTGTCATTTTTTTAAACAGAAATAGTTGCAAGAATTTCACATGCATCCCACATTGCTGTTTCCATTTTGTTGCCAGTTTCTCACTTTTGTATTTTCCCTATATGTGCTGTTGAATTTTTGTTGTTGTTGCTTATTTTATATATGGGAAGAAGATTTCTGGTAGTAGAGGACTCTTTAAACCAGCAGATCCAGTGCCTGGAAGTTGAAACTTGACAAATTCAAACAAGAAATAAGGTGCAAAGTTTTAAGGATAATTAACCATTGGCACAATTTGCCAAAGCATGTGGTGGATTCTCCATTATATGAATTATTTAAATGAAGATTGGGATGTCTTTCTAAAAGATACACTCTAGTTCAACCAAAATTTGGGGGCTTTATACAGGAATCACTGGGTGAAATTCTATGGCCTATGTTACGCAGGAGGCCAGATCAGATTATCATAATTGTCCCTTCTGGTGGTAGCATCCATGAATCAATTATTAGGTTTCCATGGCTGTGTCGTGGTGACTGTTAGAGAGACGCTGTGCACAGCAATGTCGTGATCCTGAGGAGACTGGATCAGTCGACCATGAGCTCTAGAGTTCCCAAACGTTGCTAAGAACAAAGGGCCCGAGAGGTCCCAGGAGAAAGGACTTTTTTTCTCTCCTCTGTTTAATTGATCAGAGACCAAAGAACCCTGCAGAGCTAGCCAGTGGAATCTTACCTGTGAAATAAACTGAGTAATAACGATTCAAGGTGGAGAATGGGACTGCACACTGAATCATCTATAGGAGGCAGGGTGTGCTTTGGTGGCCAGGGCTCTGGCACTTAAAGGACTTTGTAACTCTTTTGGGGTGATACAACCACAAGAATTAAAGAGGACATGGTGCTCTGGTTTTGTACACAGGGTCTTCAGTTGGCTTGAGCTTTTTTGGGGCTTGGCAGGATGGTCTATTGCTTTCCTTTCAGGCTAGTGAACTAAATGTGTTGTCCCCAGAAGAAGATAATTTGGCAGGGAACTTGTTTGGTAGGAAGTGCCAGGCCAACAAAAAATCAGAAAGAGAAACAAGGAACTCCAGTCTGCATGCAGAAGAGACCAGTTGGACTTAGTGAGCCTGGGTTAGATGCAATACTAAGGCTCTATCACAGATGGAAAGTACCAGAGGGGGAAAAGGGAAGATTTGCAAGGGAATTAGCTGATTCCAGTGTTTTCAGCTTCTGGAGTCTCCTCAAGAGCTGACAGGTCAGGTGGGTGCTCCAAGGAGTGACTAGGAGGTCAGCAGAGGTACAGTAGGAGGTCAGGATCAGAAGCACAGACACTAGCTTCATGTGTGCCTAAAGATGACAGGCTGGTAGGGTTTCATGGCTCTCTGATTGGTTATGTCTCTGCTAGTGCAACATCAGGCTACACACTAAAGTGCAACATCCAGTGCTGGGTCTAATGCGATTCTTGCAGGAGGAGTGGGGCAGAGCGGGAACCAGGGATCAGAAATGGGTGCAAAGGAGGGGAAGAGGGTGACTGTTGATTCAGATTCTGTTCATGTTTTAGCAAATGCCATTGGAAAAGAGCTTGCTGAGAAAAGCTCCTGCTACACAGATGGGGCTGAAAGAGGCCTTGGCAATGGTGGGATGGGATATGGAGAATGCCCACAAACCTCTCAAGGAAGTGGTGGAACTGACCATAAAGAAATGCAATTCAGATAAAGCTTGCTGAGGACATGAACAGGTGCAATGGCTGATGGGAACTATTGCCATCTCTATGTGGGGCAAGCCACCGAGAGCAAACAGAAGCCACAGGGTACCCACCATCCCAATGGGAGAGGTGAGGGCCTTGGATCTAAGGAGGTGGCACTAGGTTTCCAATGGTTTCTCCCACCTTTGGTTTCTTTTTTCTTTGGGTCTTTGAGGCACACTGGGCCCAAGCCTGATGTAATTCTTGGGAGAAAAGGTGGCCTGGGGAGAAAAACCCTATGTCCGTTTTGTAAGGAAGGAAACCTTCATTCTCAACTAAACCTCCCTGTGCAACATTGCTTCTGTCACACTCTCCAGGAACGGTGAATGCAGGCTATCTTGCTAGAGCCAGGATTTATTTTCCCCTCTGAATTCTCGACAGGCCTGGGGCCATGAGTGTGTAAAGGACATCTCCATGGCCTAGCAATTGGGGAGCAGCAAAAGAGCTGATAATGTTGCTACTTCTCTTTTCCTCCTCCTCCTGTCAAGTTCGTTGCAGATTGGATTGGCAGGGAAGTGGCTTATGCCCTTTCCCTGCAGCTGTGGTTTCTGTTTCGCATGCTGTAACCCACCACTGCCATTTTTGGTGATGTTAGGAGCCGTGCTGCCAAGAGGTGAAAGCTGGGCCTGAGACTGGTTGGGCAGGCGCACACCTCTCCAGCTGTGCACCATCTGATCAGTATGAGCTACAGCACCCACTGCAGCCAGAAATGTTTCTCCTTCCCTCCCACCCAGACGTCTTCTTCTTTCACTGTGTGCTGTTGTAAACAACAGGTAACACCCACGTCTTCACTACCCACCGTATCGGCAAGTAGCAATCGATTTATCTGGGATCGATATATCGCATCTCGTTAGGACGTGATATATTGATCCCCGAACGCGCTCACTGTCGACTCCGGAACTCCACCAGAGCGAGCGGCGGTAGCGCAGTCGACGGGGGAGCCGCAGCCGTCGATCCAGCGCCGTGTGGACCCAGGTAATTCAATCCAAGATACTTCGACCTTGGATCGATTTCCCCCCCCCCCCCAGTGTAGACCAGCCCAATAGAGCATCTATCTAATCCAGCTAGCTACTGGCATTCCTAATGCATCCATCACTGTGGCACCTGGAGACATGTCAAACAGACAATCCTGTGTTATTGTCAACTTCTTTCTCCTCAGCCATGGTCTTTGCTTGTTGCCGGTATTCTGACACCTGTTTAATAGTCAGTTGTATACATTTGGGCCTTCGTAGCTGAGAATCATGGACGGGAATAAGGAAGAATGAGTGAACAGTGGGAAATCTGCTGGGCCACCGGGTGTTTGAAGAACATAGTATATGAATAGCAACATGATGAGAGCATCTCCGAGCTCCATAGGAGAGGCCCTACACTGTTTGGTGCTAGACATCAGTGACACGTTAGAAGCAACATCAGAGAAGTGGGTAGGGGAAGAGACTATGAAAGCTCCTGTGACAATGGTGCTGATGCTCAGGAGAACTAATGGAGAAAATGAGGCCCAGATTCTCAAATCAGCTTCACCAGCGGAGACACCGCAGAGGGCAGAATGGAGAGAATTGGTTGGCGTGGCAGATTACCTTCCCAAAGAGTGGGTGACCAAACCATAGGCTAGGCTAGAACTGCCAAGATGCTGCCAGCCAGGAGCTTTCTGAACAGAGCTTCTCCTTAGGAGAGGACCAGCACAGGTCTGCCACTGGTGGGGGAGGGTTTCACAGCAGTGGTGTGGACAGACTCTCCATTCCTAAACTAGGGTTACCATATTTCAGCAAGCAAAAAAGAGGACGGGAGG